GCCGCGGGTGAGGAACAAGCCACCAAGCACACAGGAAAACCCACAGCAAGCAGAGAGGCGCCATGACCTCTGCACAGAGCGACCCCCAGGGCTGGGAGGCCTGGGCTGCCCTGTGAGCAGAGCTGTGACCTGCCACCCTCGGGGTGGGAACTGGGGTCTCTCAATCGCTGAGGCCCAGGGGGCTCCTTAGCTTCAGCCAGGGTCTTAAATTCTTTCTGTAGAAACAGATAAGGAGCCCTCAGAGGCACAGGATCTAAAAAACAACATGAATGATCAGGAGAAAAGGGAACTTTGAACATCAAAGTGGGTGACTCTTTGGAGAGTGGAAAATGACCATCCCTGGGTCCCTGAGGGACAGAGAAGCTGCTGTTCTCATGTGTTTGTCACACCCACCCGTCCTTCCCTGGCCTTCCTTACACACACGATACATGTTTGCCCCGGGCTAAGTATGTGCTGTGGGCTGCCCTGGGCACTGGGTACAGTGCTGTGGGCCGGAAACACAGGGCCCTGCCTCCAAAGAGTTTATATGCTAGTAGGCAAGGCAGACTGGAAAATGTACCACTTAAAATAATAATTCCAAATATAGTAAGTGTAGGGGACAAATCAGGGAGAAGGTGAAGGAGACCCTCCTTAGAAGGGGAGCCCAGGCAGCGGAGGTGGGTCAGTTGCAGTGTTAGCTGGGCTGCTCAGGGCGGGCTGTCTGCAGAGGGGACCTTTCAGCAGAGACCTCATGACATGCTGCTGGCTGTGCCTGGAGGACCCGGATGGCCAGTGTGACCACACGGTGACAGAGAAGGAGGGCTGCTCAGGGTCAGGAGGGAGAGGCGGGCCAGGGCCCCATTGTAAGGCAGAGAGAAGCCATTCCCTCCCCTGTGTGGGGAACAGGCATGACCCAACTTACACCAAAGAGAAAAGCTCTTTTGTCCCTCTGGGAAGAATGGATTGTAGGAGGTCAAGCATGGAAGCAGGAAAACCAGTTGGGACGTCACTTCAGTTGTATATGCAAGACGTAACCTCGGCTTGAGCTGAAGGGAGGGCAGTGGAAAGGGAGAGAGGGCTCTGCGAAGAAGCGCCGGCATCTGCTGATGGGTTTGATGTGGGGGCAAAGGGAAAGGTCACATACGGAGGCTCCCAGGCCCTTCAGCTTGAGCAGTGCGGTGGGTAGTGATGCCATTTACTATGACAAGGAAGACTGGAGATGGGAACATGATATTTTTGGGGGGAAGAAGTCAAGAAATCTTTTTACTATGTATATTTTTATTCATGTTAAGTCTGAGATATCTGATATATATGTGGGAATATCAAGTAAATATTCCAGAGTTCAGTAGAGAATGATATAAACTAAGATGCCATCAGCATGAAGCTCGTATTTGAACCTATGAGAACTGATGAGCTGAGCTGGTAGATGGGGGTTAGGTAAGGATTCCAGAAAAGAATGTTTGGGGGATTTTTAATGCCCTGGCCTGCATGGCATGAGAAATAAACACAGAAGCTGTAAGTCGCATCCCCAGGAGCCCCTGCACCTGTGTGTGAAGACTGCAGCCCACTTGTGTGGGTCCCCAATTGACACCACCCACCTACGCATGCAGCGCTCACGGTCCACTAGTCAGGGATGTACGCGGGGAACAGGCAGATCCTGAAAATGGGCCTTGGGCTTTTTCCGGGAATTCCAGGGCCCTTGAGAGTGGGCAGAAAGGACAGTATGTGCCCTGGGAGGGCATGTCCCCTCAGACCTGTGGCCCCTCACTCATCGGGATCAGGGTCAGAGCAGGGACCTTTGAAGCAAAGGGTACAGGGCCAGGACTCCGGCTAAGGCGGGTGCTGTGCTTCTTGCCTTCATGGGGTAATTATGGCTGTTTCTCCAAGCAGCTGATAGGTAGGCTGTCAGAAGGGAGACTGTGCCCCTCACACTGCCACCCTCTGGACCACTCCTGCAGCTTCTGCGACACAGATGTGAACCTTGCGCTGTGATGGGAGTGGGCATTCTTATACTGATGGGAAGGAGGGGAGCGCTGAGCTGAAAGCTCAGGTGAGAGGAACACAGCCTGCCTTCAGAGGCTAACCTGGGCCAGGGAAGTCAGAGGCCCGAGGCACAGCGTCCAGCGGGCATTTGATAGGCTTGGGAACATCAGGTGTGATTCACTGAGGGGTCAGGGAGAGGCCACCCCTCAGGCTGTGCTCACAATGGGAGATCCTGAGTGATGTGTGGGGAGGTGAAGACCAGCATGGATTCTGCTGGGCCGTCCATTCCAAGCCCAGAATCCATCCAGTGCCCTTTGACCTCACAGGCTGGGAGTTAGCAAAAGCCAGCTCAGGAATCTGAGGCTCAGGACTGTCTTCCCAGCTTCATGCATCGTGAAGGCACCAGGCCAGACAACTCATTTTTATTTTGTGAACTGGGTCAGCATTTTGGGGGAGCCAGGGGTCCTGAGGATGAGCTTCACTTGGCCAGCATGGTGTGTTTTCACATCTCCAGTGTAGGGACGACCGACACCATGAGCTCTTTCCCACTGCACAGGAGAGGATTACATCACCTGCCTTGGACAGGGTCGGCTCAAGGCAAGATGACAGGCAAGGCCCACGAGCATCCCCTTTTCTAAGATTCCAGGGCTGGTGTCCTCCTGTCACTTCTAGGACTGGTGACCAGGCCTTCTCTGCTGTCTGAACAATGAAACCCTTAGCTTTCCTCATCTTCTGAGCAAATTCATAAGGGGCAGATGTCACACACAATAGGGCTATAGAAACAAGACAGCTGCCTGACACTTTCTAATTTGTTCCTTTTTGTCTTCCTGGCAACCCCTTGCAAGCCAGAGAGAGAGGTAGGGCTGTCAGGGCCAGGCCCCGAGAGCCAGGAATGATGCATCTCATTCCAAACTGCGATGGTGGCACATTCTGTGGCCGTGGGCAAGTCACCCAGTGCCTCTGCTCCTTCTTTCCAAAGTGTGAAACCAGCTGTGAAGGGGCTGGGAGAATTCATTAGTTTGGTGGAAAAGTTTGATTGACTTGATTCCATCAGTGCAATAATGACCTCTTTCTATTTACAGGACTTTGGCTTCTCTCCTCATTTCACTTTTGATAGTTCAAGTGGAATTGCAAGTAAATGGGAGCTCTCAGCGGCCATCTGCAGAGCATTCTAAAAGCCTCTGGTTTGCAGCCTCCGTCCGGAGGAAATGTGAGGGACTCTTTAGAGGGTTTCTTAAAAGCGCTTTCAACAGGGCTTAAGTCAAGATTGCTTTGAAGCAAGTGTTATATGGCCATGGAATGTATGCTATATGCCTTTTGCAAATAAAGGCAACAGGAAATTTGGGTTTTTGAATTGTGGCCTTGAACTTTATGTGTTCAAGTTACCTCAAAAAGATTGACTCGGTCTAGTGCACGGGTCCGCATGTGACATGTGTAAATGCTTAACAAATGTTTCTGGCTGGAGAGACGGATGAATGAATGAGTGAATCATCACTAGTAAAACGTCACCTATCATTAAGTGTCACCCTAGCTCAGGAATTCTCAAGACTTGCGGTTTAGGATCCTCAGGCCTACTGGATGTTAACTTCCATCCTCTTATTTCAACAGAGTTTGGGTTTTGCTTGAATTGAGATGAAACCAAACTGGATTCACTATGCTTCATTGCAGCTGTGGAGGGACATAAAAGAGTTCCATATATGTAGGGCAAAGACCCTATGGTGTGGGTATGATTTACAAAGAAGAAACCAAGGCTTGGAAATTGAGCATTTTAGTTTGCTCTTACCCCTAGGAGGCCACCTGTTACCTGAGAGGCATTCAAACCCCACTGTCCCCACACTTAACAGTCTGCCATCTTGCTTACATTCTCTAGATGCTCATAGATTCTCTATGTCGTCACAGGAAGTCAATACCATTGATAATATCTTTTTAAGGTCAACTTATAAGATGAGTTTTGGAGGGTCTGAACACAATCGGGTCAGAGAAGAGACCAGCTAAACCTTAGTTGCCAGTCCACGGAACAGCCAAGACCAGCCACTACACGGCAGAGGCGCAGTGTGGCCCACAGGGGTCCACATAGGCTCAGGGACACCACCCCACATTCCAGCACGAGGTCACCGAGGACCCCTCTCCCTCCTACGCCCAGACACTAGCTTTGAGAGAAGCAGGCGGAGGAGACAGAACTCCGGAGGACTACATATTTTATGTCAGATAAACTGAAGAGTTACATAAGGAGACTATTTAAATTATAATACCACACCAAGCCTATTGTAGCATCTGAAAGACTTACCACTCAAAGTGTGAGCTCCAGATTAATGGCTTCAGCTGGCAGTTCATTAGAAAGGCAGAACTCAGGACCCACTCTAGACCTAACGAATCAGAATCTGCATTTTGAACTGGATTCCCAGGTAATTCATTCACATACACAAAAAAGTCTGAGGCCCACTGGTCTCCAGTACAGCACACAACCCTGTCCCTCCCTGCTGTCCAATAAGGATGACCTGTGTTACTACAGCACCCACATACAGCATGATGCAAAACTGCATTTTACCTACACGCCTCGGCACACCCTAACGCATCGGTGACCCTGCCGCAGATGAATGAGAGCAAAGAGCAAACTCCAGAGAACAGCTGGAGCTTCCTGCGTCCTCCCAGAGTCAAAAGGAACAGCTAAGGCCCTGCCGGCCACGGGGTGTCAGCCCCCCTGTCGCCTCTTTGTGTTCGCAGCTCTGTCTGCAGCACCCTGTTGGGAAGGACTCTGAGTCACACCACAGGTCAGGGTAAGAGCCACTCCAGCTTAGCGCTGGCGGCCGCAGGTGAGGGACGGGTGAGCACTGGCATGTCTCCCCAGCTCTGAGCAGGACCGATGGGAAAGAGCCTCGATTTCATCTCTCAAAATCCAAGACAGGGGAAATTAGCAATGCTTTCTGAGTTTTGAAGAAAGTGTGTCAGTGGGTCAAGTGGCCATGAAGCAAACCTACCTCACAAGAGGAGAGGCCGCCGGCCTCATTTCCCAGGGCACCTTCTTACCTGGGAATCCCACTCATACGGCTTCATACCAACAGAAATAAGATGGGAGCGGCCAAGCAGAAGGACTTCGCTAAGCACATTCCGGAAGACCAAGGTACCAGGACTGCGCTCACCTTATTTGTGAAAAAGTGGCTTTCTTAAGTTCTAGAAGCACCTTATATTACACTGAGGTCTCCTGTGAATGTTACCGGCAAAGATACTTTTTGTAAAGTCAGAAATACATTTCTATGAAACCATATTGTTTTAAAGGAATTCCATAATTAAGATTTAAAAAATCAGGTATCTCATTTGCTTCTTTTCCTATGGCATTATGGTAAGAGTGCTGGATAGGGGTTTGAGCAGATATGGATTCCAACCCTGATCCTCCTACGTATTAGCTGTATCTACAGGGAAGTGGTGACTGGCATATACTAAGCAATCAATACACTTAAAAAAAAAAAGAAATCAGCCCTAGCCTCCATTATAAATTGTTTTTAGTATGAGTACCTATTATTTGAGTACATATCTGTGAAATTTTCAGGGCATCTGGCAGATGCCAGAGGTGGGAGGAGGACAAATCTTTGCTTCTGAAATAATTTCTCTTCTGTTTTGAATGATTTCATGTTACAGAGCTTCTGGGAAGTGCAAGGCCTGGCCGGAAGGCCCCTGGAGATCCCTGGCATCTTAAAGGTGACAGAATTCCCTAAATAAGTATAGTTGGGTTGATGAATATTAACAGAAGCAAAACGAGAGCAGGAATTTGCCTCGTGGTCTCTCCCCTCCCAAATGGGCCAAAACAAACAAATAAATAAAAACAGCTTTCTTCAGATGGCCAGGCTTAAGCCAGCCAGATCTGAGGCTTGCCTGGTCGCCACACTGCTGGGCCTGGAGTTCGTGCACAGACTGTTCACGTCCCGATTCCAAGGGACTCAGTCCAGTGTCACTCACAAGCAGTTGCATTTGATGGGGGGCCAGGGGGCAGGGGGGCTTTAGCAGCTACAATGGTCCCACCCTGGGCAGCCAGAAAGCACTAAGCTGAGTCCACTCACTTCTGGGGGTGAGGGGGGAAAGGGGGAGAAGCCTGCGGTCCCCAGGCCCGTTCCCAGCTGCCAGCTCCACTTGGAGTCTGAGAGCAGAGGCAGCAGATGGGACACTGATGGCCTCCTGCTGCAGGTGACTCACAGGGCAGGCGTGCGGCCCACCTCCTGCGCCCGTGGGAGCAGATTGCTCGTGCGCCCAGGAGCTCCTCTGACCTCGGTGGACCACATGAGGCCGGGAGCTGGCAGGGGAAAGGCAGGGTCTGGGTTCTCACTGCCCAAGCCATCCAGTACTAAAAGTACTGCATCTTCGTGCTTTCCTTGCCCTTGGAGGCTCTGGTCCTTCCCCATCAGCCTGTTAGGGCAGCTGCTCTCCCAGCCTTATTTGCCCTCAAACTGCTGCAGCTCCACGCCCACCTCACTCCCTCCGGCTTCCCGCACCTCTGCGCCTCTGGGGTGAGTCCCTGCCTTCTGCACGGACATCCTCACTGGAAGGAGCCCCACACTGCCCAGCCTGACACAGCCCCTTCTCCCCACAGGCAAAGCAGGCCCACCGTGCAATTGTGCAAGGCTCGGGTGCCCTGCCCTGCGGCGTGAGGACGGCATGACAGGAAACTACAGCAACGCGGCTGTGGGGCTTTTCCCCACGAGGCAGTCTCCAGTCGGTTTTGACCCATTTCCTCCCCTCCTTTCTCCTTGCCACACAATGCCTTGGTCAGGATCCTCAGTACAGGAAGCCCATCCTGTGCCAACCAGGACTGAGGTGTCCCCTTCCCCTGGCGAGCCTGCTGGTTCCGGCATCAGCTGAGGCAGACGGCGCATCCATCTCCTCCTTGTCTGAGTGGATTTCTCCCCTCTGGAGACCTGGAAGGCATTATAATCCCTCTGCCCTTCCCTCTCGCTGCATCCTTCCCCGGGGGAGGGAAACTGAGCTCTCTCCCCGTGTGATTCCTAGGCACAGACATGACCCTGAAGTCGGCGCCGGCTCACCGAGGCTTGTGTCTAGGCCGCCGGGTATCGTCCCGTCCACCTGGCTGGGCATTAGCACAGAAGGGGGCTGGAGTCGGTCCCGGCTCCCAGCACGGGACCCACACGTGCCCAGAAGCATATGAAGCTCAACATTAACCTTTTAGGAGGTTTTCCAGAGCAAATGAGACAGCCCCTGGGGTGTTATTTATGTTTCTTCTTTCGTCCTTTTGGCAGCACCTATTTGGAATGGACAGAAGAAAACAGAAGTCAGAACGCTGTCTATGTATCCCTTCCCAAACTATAATTAAGATGGAAGCTCATTTGCCATCCTGATGATGGGTGTAATCAAGCCTGTGACAGAGCAAGATTTTGGAGCATTTTTATCCGTATGGGAACTGCAGCTCGTTCGTGGCCAAATCTCTCATCATGTCTCAGATTTCGGAGCAAGGACTAGCACTTCCCGCACAGACAGGCCGTCCCTCTGCTCTCCTGATTCAGCTGACCACTGTTCGCTGCAGCTGCATGCGAGGGATAGGAGTGGATGCCTTCCAGCATGCTGGGGCTTGGAACGGGGCCTCCCATCCCGAGAGAAGGGAGTCTCTGTGGGCGCTGACCTGGCAGTGCGCTAGCCGGCCTTGCGGTTGGTATGGAGGCCATCAGAAATCATCTGGGTTTCAACCTGCCAAGCCGAGGCCATCCTGGGGCACAGGGATTTACTGCTAACAGAAGAAAGGAAAGAAGCCATTTCCTTAATGATGCTTTGCAGGCCACTTTCATGTAAAGGCCTCTTTGGCTGCCCTGACCAGTTCAGTACCTAATGCATCGCGCTGCGTTCTTCCAGCCATTCAGGCCTGTCTGCTGCATGGAACAGGTATCAAATCCAAGCGTGGAATTTTCCCAGCAGGCCCCAGGACGTGTTTCTGCCAAAGCAGCTGTGGGAGGGGAATGAGTGGACCACAAATCCAGAAAAGGAAGAGGCCACTCTTTGGGCGCGGGCTGACTCAGGCACAGGCAGTCCCTTGAGGAAAGATGTGGGTTGTGAAGCCCCCCCCCAGTGCCAAGGCCAGACAAGGCCAGACCCCACAGAGTGGCTTCCCAGAGCTGGGGCAATCGGACCAGCTGAGGACAGCCCAAGCCGGCTGGCTGCTCACAGCAGGCTCCGCCCAGTAGGAGGTGAGTGGGCAGCTGGGGACGCCCTAGAAACCTGTGTTCAGTGAACATCAACAGCGCGGAGGGAGTGTTGGTAGTGAAGTCTGGTGGGTGTCAGGCAGGAAGCAGAGCTGTGTGCCACACAGGGGCGGGCCTAGAATTCATAATAGCAGGAACAAAGCCCATGATAGCCAGGCAGCTGAGGTCCAAAGTCCAAGCCAAACTCACAGCCAAAGAGAAGCAAGCCTCTTGGGGCGTATCAGCAGCAAATACGCGCTGGCTTCCCCTGACAGAGCACGCGTCTGCTCATCCTCATGGAAGGAACTTCACCCTGGGCCAGGGTGGCGGGTGGCACAGCTAGAAAGGCAGGAGTCTCGTAATCAGAGCTGCTCACCTGCCCTTACTCGTCCGGGCTGTGCAGTCTTGGCTGTGATCATGAGACCGCATCAGGCCCGCTGGAAGGGGTGCTGTGGTGTGATGTCTGCCGTGCAACAGGACGGGAGATGAAGGGCACATTGGCCATGGCCACGGTTTTGTTCTTCCTAAGGTTTTGCTCTATTTAGGGAGCTCTTTAACTTCAGGCCGAAAACAAAATGTTCTGAGGAGAACGACGGAGCTCGTAATTTGAAATGAGAGCCACTGTTTCACCTTTTACTCTACATTAATTTAAAAATTTTGTCTACAGCAAATTAAGGACACGGGGTAAGATCTGATACGAAAATCCAGGCCTTCATCACTAAACAAAAGAACACCTCCCCTCCCCTCCCTGGAGTGGACCCAATTATTCTGTTCTCATTCAGTTTTGATTCTTCTACTTTTAGTGGTCCTTTTCCATGTATATATTTTTTGACAGGATTGAGATATTTCTGGTTTCAAGTCTGCACTGAATTCCCACTTGGCTAAAATGTAGATACCATGAAGGCCCCTGTATTCCAACATCAAACATCCCCTTGGCAGCAAAACTTTTCTTTCTAAATACTATTGAGGAGTTATAGAAGGGTTTTCTGACCAGTGGCCTTTTAAAGAGGTGGAACGAAACTATTTCCCCCTACTTTTTTAAGGGAACTAGCTCTGAATGTTTACTATTTATATGCGGCAGAGGACCTCAGAGTTTGGAATGATAATATGGCAGGAAGAGGGGTAAATAAACACTGAGTGGTTAGATGCTGGTGCCTTCCTATAGATTATGTCATTAAATTCTCAGAACAACCCAGAAAGAGGTGTCCCCTTCCATTTTTATATATGAATATAGAAAATTCAGAGAGATCAAATGTTAGAGTCCCATAAGTGATCTGAACCTAGGTCTGATTCTAAACTCCATGGTGCTGCTGGGTTCTGTTCTCCTGGTGGTGGATATTTTGAACTACTTGTTTCTTTAGCACTTTATGCTATAGCTTTGTAGCTTGAAACCTTAGCTGCCTTCATAATTGCATAAATAAACTGACAAATATAAAAAAAAACCTGATTAATCATTTTGGAAAAGAGCTTGATGTTCTCATTTCCCAGTAGTTATTTTTGTTTAATATTGCACCTGTAATCTCCATGTGGAAGATATTCCAACAAAATTATTGAGTCAGAGGCAGATTATTCTGCAAAGTTCATGGTCTATGAGAAAATGCAGAAAAGCCACCACAAGGTGACCTCACTGACTCCTCCATTTCCATTTGGAGGTTTCGAAAGTTCTCAGATAATCCGTGGACGTCATGACTCCTGCCCAGGCACTGGGTTCATTTTCCTCTCTCATCGCTTGTTTTCACCTGCTTCATTCTGTCTAGTTCATGCGGGGCTTGCAGATCTCCTGACCCTGGGATCGCACCTCCATAAGGCACTATCTTTTAAAGATGAACAGTTCTGGTGTAGCTGATGGAAAGATTGCTGAGGAATATGGAAGTATGGGGACAAAGAAACTATTCGCCTGAGTCAGAATTGATTGCAAACAGATACTCCAAGCTCAGACCTGCCAGGCTGTTGCAAACAGAAAACAGAGGAAGCATTTAAATCTGAAAACAGAGAAAATCAGAGCTTCTGAGGAAAGAGTCTTTAGAGAATACAATCTCTCAAACAACAACAAAAAAATTACTTGGAGCACAGGTGCTGTTTTTATCACTTAATTCCACTGAGGGTATGGATGTGAGATGAAAGAGAAAGGGCGAAGAGACCAGTGACTCCCTGTCCAGTTACTGTTGATGAATTGGATTGGGATTTGGGGCCCATTGGCTTAAAATGCTGGAATACTGGGTTCTTGAGCATGCGCGGTTCATATTTCACATGCACAGAAGGAATGTGTCTGCCTAGAGGCTAGACTGATGGACCAGAAGAAGGCTCTTAACTCAGTACAGTGGGGGAGGGAGAAAAACAGTCGGATAAACCCGGGAAAGCAGGTACTAGGGAGAGTGGCAGGTAGAAACTTGGGAAGAATGAGTGGGAAAGGGCATGGTGAGTCACACGTGTAATGAGGAGCAGCCTTCGGTGGCACTGCAGAGAGCAGGCGGAAGTCACAGGGGAGCCGGAGACGGCGATGCAGGCACCTGGTTCTCCGTCACTGGGGCCTGAGGAAACTTCACAGCAAGCACATGCCTCAGGAGGGGCAGGAAGCAAGACCAGGGGGCAGAGACGCAGGAACAGGTTGTGAATTTGATCCTAGAGTGCTGTGTGGTGACTGGATCTGAACATAAGCTGTATTTAATGTAGATAACTGTGGAATCACTACATTGTACACTTGAAATCAATATGATATTGTATATAGACTATATTTCAATTAAAAAAATTAAAATATAATATAAAAATAATACCTCCCCAGGAAAACATAAGCTGCGATCTTTTCCAGGGTGCTAAAGGCTATTGAGATTGACTAATGTAAGTGCGTGGGAGGTGCTGAGAGGAGCGCAGCTTGTTAGAAGGTCTATGGTGATAAATACATCACTGGGCTTCATTTCATACATAAAACTGGGGCTCAAGAATCAGGTGGAATTTCCTATTGACTCCTTTACTTATTCAACAAATACGCATGGAGTGCCTACTTTACTGGGGTGCTGAGGTGGTGAATGGGAGAGACAAGAGCCTTTCAGTGATGGAGCTTAGTAAAAATTGGAAGCATAAGAGACAAACTATAAACAGGATATCAATAAAATAAATAAGAACATTCCATATGGTGATTTGTACTATGAAAAAAGTGATAAGATTAGGAGACTGACAGTGGACATAGAGTGAGGCAGGCAGTTAGCCTTCGGTGGGGAGGTGGTTGGGGTTGGCATCCCAAGGGTGTAACATCTGAAGGAGGTCCTGAATCATGAGATGGATCCACGATGTGAAGGGATGGAGACAGAATGATCCGAGCAGAAGGACCCACATCTGCAGAGGCCCTGAGGGAGGACCCTATCTGTAAAGTTTCAAACAGAACATAAGCCCGAGTAGCTGGTGACGATAAGTGAGGAGAAGGTGGGAAGAAATGAGGTTGGAAAAGTATATAGGGCCTGATCAAGTAGGCATTTGAGAATAATGATGAGGAATTTGGATTTCTTTCTAAGTGCAGTAGGAAACCACTGAACCTCTTTAAGACTATCAGTGGATTTCTCAGAAGATATTTTGCAGTCCAGAAGAGAATGGAGTGATGTGTTCAAAATATTGAAAGAAAAAATCCTGTGAACCAAAAATACTCCAGCTTGCAAAGCTGTCCTTTAGAAATGAAGGAAAGACAAAGAAATTCCCAAACACAAACAGTGAGGGAGTCATCACCACGAGACCTACCTTATAAGAATGCTAAAGGGCATCTTCAAGCTGAAATGAAAGTTTAAACATCTTAAAAACATGTGAATGTGTTAAACTCACTGATAGAGGTAAATACATAGAACAGATTCTCTAATATTGTAATGGTGATACATAACTCACTCACAATTACATTTTAAAGGCATTTGAATCTGAAAACAGAGAAAATGTTTTTAAAAAAAAGCATTTAGAAATACCTGTAAGTCCAATAATTTATTAGTGGATATGAAATATAAGAAGATGTAATTATAACATCATAATCTAAAATGTGAGGCAGGGAGTAAAAAATAGAGTTTCTGTATGCTGTTGATATTACTAAGTTAAGGATGTTAAAACTATAAGGTATTTCATGTATGTCTCATGGCAACGACAGAGGAAAAACCTGTAGTAGATACACAAAAGATTATGATAAGGGATTCAAAGCATACCACCAACAAAAGTCATCAAATCACAGAGAGAGCAGGAGATGAACAAAGTAACAAAGGAACTACAAAGCAGTCAGAAAAAACCAAAATGACAATCGTAAATCCTTACCTAATAATACTTACTTTAAATGTAAATGGTTTAAATTCCCTAATCAAAAGATATACAATGGCTGTATGGATTTAAAAAATTAAGAAAATCCAACAACAGGCTGCCTACACTTTAGCTTTAAGGACATATACAGGCTGAAAGTTAAGGGATGGAAAAAGATATTCTAAGCAAATGGTAACAAAGAAAAAAAAAAGCAGAGGTAGCTATATTTATATGAGTCAAAATACATTTCAAGCTAAAATTGTTCATGAGAGACAAAGAAGGTCATTCTATAATGATAAAAGGATCCATTCATCAAGTAGATATAACAACTGTAAATATTTATACACCTAACATTGGAGCACCTACACATATAAATCAAGTACTAACAGAACTAAATGCAGTCATAGTTGGGGACTTTAACACCCCACTCTCCACAATGGATAGAGACAATAAGGAAACAGTGGATTTGAACACTATAGACCAAATGTACCTAACAGACATATACAGAACATTCCGTCCAATAGCAGTAGAATACATATTCTTCTCAAGCACACAGAACATTTTCTAGAATAGATCATATGTTAGACCATAAAATAAGTCTTAACAAATTCAAGAGACAATGGGAGTGAACACCAATGTGAAAATCTTTGTATCACATATTATCTACATACCAGATATAGTATTTATGGTAACATATCTTTATGCCAGATATGTTTATGTATCAAGCATAAACAAAGCACTAAAATGTCAAGTAGACAGAATGATACAGGTAGTTGACATAAGTAAGCCTCTGTCATCACCCACTCCAGTGTGGGCACAATCAGAGCGTGAATGGAGTACCACAGGAGCATGGCTGCAGGCTATGCATGGGCTCGACAGCCTGGGCTTGACCTAGATACTCCCACTGCCAAATGCTCACTCTGCTATGTCCACACCGATGTGATCCCACTCCTCAAGGGTATCAACCAGCCACTTGATAGCAAGTTAATTACACTGGCCCCTTCCACCTGGAAAGGACAGTGGCACATATTCGGGATATGGGTTTGTCTTTCCCAGAGCCTCAGCCTGGACTACTATCCAAGGACTTACAGGATGTCTGATCCATTGACTTAATGATCTTGTATAACAATACACTGGACATAGGAACTCACTTTACAACAGTGGTTTTCAAAGCGTGGTCCCTGGACCAGTAGCATCATCATCATTCCTGGGAACTTATTAGAAATGCAAATTTGGGGTGGGACCCAAGAATCTGAATGAGACTGAGGTAGGGCCCAGAAGTCTGTGTTTGAACAAGTCCTCCAAATGATTCTAATGCACACTAAGTCTGAGAACCACTTCTTTGTAGCACAGGAGGTGTAGCATTGGGCATATGACCATAATTATCACAAAGTGTGCTACCAAGAGGCTGCTAGCTTAATAGGTCTTTTAAAAACACAGGCCCTGCTTGGATATACTACCTTATGTACATGAAATGTCATCCTTTAGGGTACAGGGCATACCCTCAATCTCTCTCGGCCAGAATTCCATAAGAGATTTAAGCCACTCTAAAAATTATCTGAGTGACTATTTTCTCAATTTTTCCAAGAATGGTCCAATAGGTAATATGATTTTAAACTTTAAGGAAGAAAGTTAATCCATACATATAAAGGATGTATTAGGGCGTTAGGATTTAACTATCATGAGGAATCCTTGTAAAGACGAGCTGCCATAAATCAACAGCCACTATGTTGGGCTGTGCCTCCAACAGGTAGAATAGACGGGTCTGGGAAACAAGGCGGAAGTGGGGGTGGTCCTTCATCGCTCCCAGTGACCCACTTAGGAAATTTCTACTTCTGTTCCTGCAAGTCTGGGCTCTGTGTGTCTCCGGGTCCTAGTTCCCAGAAGATGTGCTTCTGCTGAAGGAGTAAACCAAGAAAGAACAAAACATGTTATCTAAACGAGAGCAGATTTAACTTAGGAGAAGAGGGAAGAGATGATTTAAGATAATAACTACACAACATACATTGAGAACAACCTGCACAGTTTGGGGCAGCAGGATGGGGGGCTTAGGAAGTAGGTATCCAAGCTCAGTTGGGTAGATATCATGGGTGGTGATGTGACGGAGCATCCAGAAAGAACTAAGAATGTGCACATGAAAATTATAACAGTGAAACATTTTTTTAAAGAAATACATTCTATACATATATGCATATATACATACATGTATATTATAAAAGTGAAAACATTTTAAAGAAATATATATATGCTATATTTTATATAATATATTATATATATATATATTTGCCTAAAAGTAGAAAAAAATGTATGCAACAAATTCACATAGAAATAAACACTAAGGAGGAAAAAGAGAGTCAGTGACAGGGTGCGCCCTTCCATTTAGGTTTTTAGGGAGGGCCTGAACAAAGATATGAATAAAATGAAGGAGTAAATCATGAAGTTAAGAAGGTGGGGATGGGGGAACATTTAAAGCATAGGCCGCAACAAACACAAAGAAACAGAAAGGGCATTAGTGAGCGGAAGGCCATCGGGAGGGAGAAGGAGTGGGTGTTGGATATTTGGGGAGTAAGGAGACATGTGAGAAAAGTCAACTACCAGAACGGCAAGCCACCAACGGGACAAAGGCAGTGGCGGTGCCAAGTAGTGCCCATGCCATTTGAGGTTTGTGGTTACAGATTTAAAGTGAGACCAGTGAGCACGGTTCTGTGACTTTTTTCCCCAGCGATGTTAAAACTCAAGGATGTATGCACAATATAAGCTATAATCGCGACTGGTGTTTAACCAGGTGAAGTACAACAGAAAGGAAAAAAAGAGCAAGAGATATGAGATGTTTGTGAATTCTTCTAATGAAAGAATTTAACTTGACTAAGAAGAGATTTGGGGACATGAAGGGCGATGATGGACAGTGAAAAATTTCTAGGTTCAATAGATTAAAGAAAGATCTAAGCTAGAGGAGAGGAGGCGGTTTAATTTCATGTCAAGAAGCTGTATACCTGTCTAGAAATGTGTAAATATACAGTTGACACCACCAGACAGGCATACGGGTGGTTTTCAGGAGGCCATGGGGACAGATGGCAGAAATGATACTTTTCTGATCCAGACCTCAGCACAGCTTAGAAGCCTACTCCCACCAGGAGGACGTCGGCAGGAAGTCTCGTTTGGCTAAAAGTAGAGCATCTGAAAAAAATTCTTGTCTTACTCTACTGACAGAATCATCAATCAGTAAGTGGAAGGAGAGACTGCAGGAGCTTCTACTTTAAAAAGGAAGAATGTCTTGGTGAAAGCAAAATTGATGTGAATTTAGAGAAAAAATGGTCTGATTCCCTAAATTTCTCTGAAAGAACCCAATTCTCCTGGTTCATGAGATCACTGAATCCACTATTGGTGATTTTTGTGTAAGTGTGAAAAAATAAAATAATACCAGCAATAGGTAAAGGGTCTGACTTCAAGAGAGAAGCTATCTTTTTCTCTGAAAAATAGTCAACAGACTACTGGAGAAAAGGACAATCAGATGGAAAAATAAATAGTGACCTTTCCCAAAGGATGAATCAATCAGAAGGTATTTCTGGTGGCCGGTGACAGGAAGCAGAGGTAAAGGGTTAACATAAAAAAACTATAATCCCAATCCCAAATGGCCCCCAAATGTTGGTAGAATGAGATTAATCTACCAATGGCAAGAAATAGGAAAAAAAAAAAGCTATTTTAATTGTGAATTTATATAGATCAGCATTTATACACCTGTTTCTGATCTTTAACACAACTCTCTAAGTGTAATGCTTATACTTCACTTTGCAGTTAAGGGAACTGAGTTTAGTTAAAGTAAGTGACTTTCATGAAGTTTCATAGGTTATGAGAGAGCCAAGATTCAAACCAGGCCAGCCTCCCCAAATCATTCCACAATGTCTTTTGCATCCGTACAACAACTCTTGACATGACGTTGTGAAGGAGAGCTTCGCAGTGATAAAGACTGTGTTAGCTGGCAGGAAGCTCATTTAGAACCAACAGCAAGATCTGGTCATCACTAAAACTAATATTACCTTAGTTTGCATCAACACAGGGTCAGATTCTTGAATGTTCACCATGTGTTTCAGCCGTTTCCACAGTATTGTGTCCAACTGTGAGTACCCTGCTTGAAGAGAGAGACAGACAAACCAGACTATTTTGGGGAAGGAATGACCAATTTAATGAGAACTCCAAAGCAGGTTGAAAGCTCCTTAAAGGAACGGCGCACTTGGAGAAGGGAATACCTAGAGGGAATATGATATCTTTCCTGAAATATTTGATGGGCTTCCTTGTGGAAGAGAATAGGCTTTCTCTGCATGACGACCAAGTGTTAGAACAAGGACTAGTTGATAAAAATCAGAGATCCAAATAAAACAGGGGCCACCTGAAAAATATATTAAGTTTTTCATCCTGGGTTTGCCAGCTGCTGAGCAGTTATTATGGAGGCACTTCAAGCCTCAGATGGGTGACTGGGTTACATGAGTTTTATATTCCCTTCCAACCCGAAGATTCTATGATTCCAGCACTTCACATTTAAGAAATCAAGTTTCTCTACACACAACTATATAATTTTATAATATAAAAGTGCTATTGTCATTCCTGATCTTTTCTAAAAGTCTAATGCTTTTCTTTTCATTTTTTTCTTTTTTTAGATTAGATTTCCCTTCTTAGTTTCTTCAGTCTTCTCGTATCAGCAGCTCCACACCCTCAAGGATTCAAACCCCAGTTCTGCCACTTACTAACTGCATCCTTGGACAATTTACTCATTTTCTCTACAGAAATACCTAGTTCATAGGATTATTATAAGGATCCATCACTTAATACATATGAAGCACTTAGAATCGTGCTGAGCATTAGTAAGCTACCAGATAAATCTGAGTGGTTATTACTCCTCATGTAAACCCCTCCTTTTCAACTGGTAGAACACTAATTGACTGTAATGGCTGTATAATATTCTATAATTTACTCAGTCTTTCTTTCTTTGATGAGGTTTCTCTTTTTCGCAGTTTTTCCCCACAGCAATAGCATTGCAATATATATATGTGTACTTATGTCTTTTGAACAAGGACTAATTGATAAAAATCAGAGATCCAAATAAAATAGGGGCTACCTGAAAAATATATTAAGTTTTTCATCCTGCTGAGATTAAAACAGGAATGGATTCCTGGACTGAAGGCTCTAGGTATTTTTAATTTTAAGTGAGATTACCATTTTTGCCCATATCAAATAAGATGATAAATCTTCATACTGTCTGCGGTAATGTATAAGCGTACACTTTTCCCACCAACATAAGTAGCACAGCTCTCTTTAACTCTTGTCAGAGTAATGGGTAGTAAAGTGATATCTCATTGTTTCTTTAATTGGAGTTCCTATAATTTAAGGAATTTGAGCATGCTGTCATGTTGGTTAGCCATTTACTCATTTTTCTATTGGATGATTTGTATTTTTCTTGTCAACTTTAAGATTAGTTGAAATCTAATCTTCCAACTTTTAGTAAGGACCCTTTCTAAGAGCATATATATATTAATGCCTTATGGGAAACAGCCTTGGTGCTAACCATGGGCGCAGCCATGTTAGAAATATACTGTCATTTCTAACTGAAACCTTCCCCCTCTTCTTCCCTCCTGAGTATCTGGGATGGAGATTGGCTTGTGAGGAAAAGAATGTCCATCAAGAACACAGTGGGGCTCCACTGCAGAGGAGAATGGTATCCCAGAGTTTGTGAGAGAGAAGAAACAGGGGCGAGATAATGGGGTGAGCAGGATGAAACTGATGTGCAGAAGCCAAATATGCAGGATCAAAGCCAGGGCCCTGGAGCCATGAGAGGGGAGCCTCATCCCATCAGAGAGATGAGACCAAAGTGTAGGCAGGTCAGGGGAAAGTTTGGTAGCGTGGGCCATTTGCTTAAAATACCTATGAATGCTTGAAATTTGCTTTTATAGACCCGCAGGCATAGAATGCTGTGGTGGGTGGACTTGGCTTTAAATGTGCAGGCAGGGACAGATAATTTGCTTGTTCAAACTCTTTATTGAAGCCTTAGTGCCTAAAGAGCAGAGTGCCAGGTACTGCAACTTGCTCTTCAAAGTCTTTTAAAATCTGATCCGTCCTTTCCTTCCTCACTTTGAACTCTCTATTCCTTTATTACTTCTTAAATTACTTTCATCTTCCGGTTTTTGCCTGAAACGCTTTTCTCCCACCTCTCCTGAACAAATTCTGTTCATTTTTAAAACCTCTGTTCCTCTGAATGCTGTCCTGACCACTCCAGCCTGATATGAACTCTCCCCATTACGAACTCTTCACAGTAATTATTATCTGCCCACACATTTGGCAATTGGTCATTGTCTCCTTGAGATTCCTTTGGAAACAAATTCCCTACCAAGCCAGCTTAAGCAATGAAGAAATTCATTATCTCATGTAACAGGAAGCCCTGAGTTAGAACAAGGTCTAAGGTTGAGTCAGGGACTCAAATACGTCCTTGGAGGACCAAGTTTTCTCCACTTTGCCATCCCATGTCTGGTTTCCTCATGGTCATAAGATGGCTGCCAAAAGCAGCCACACCCTTCTTTGTCTACATCTGATGGCAGTGTGGGAACCCTCTCCCCACGCAGTAACTATTGGCTTCCCTCAGTCTGCTTAAGTAAAATTGGTCACATACCTACTGCTGGACCAATAGCAATAGCCCAGAGAATGTCACATGCTGCCTTTACTAATTAGGACCTACACCTGGTCTGGGGAGAACTTGAATAAAGTTGGGTTTGTGGAAAGAAATCAGAAGGGGAGAGGTGCATGCTGCATAGTCGTAGGTTGCTCTGTGACAGGTTTACATCTTGAATTGCTGTCTATACCTTTTATTGTCATCTTTTCACACCGTTTGTACCTTTTATCCCCAGGTAGATTGCTACTACTGTGAGACAAAACCTGTGTCTACTATGACCTCAAACGACTTTCTTACAGAGGTATTGGTAAATACTTATTGATTGGTTCTGACTTCTCTGAGATTCACCTACATTCTCTATCTTACTAGCACCACAGAGGATGCAACTGAATCTTCTAAAATGCAACTGAAGCTTCAAATGATAAGGGCAAAAATATAAGGCTTTGGGGACCCCAAGCCCAGAAAGCTGGAGGTCTGTTTGGAATCGTGTTGTGCTCCTTCCCTTCCTCTGCGCAGGAGCTATGTGAATATCGGCACCAAGGGATTAAGACCAAGCAAGACTGAAAATCATCACCTGGAGTGTTATTCTAGAGCCAAGTTTTGCCGGAGACACCGCTGATTTTGGTGGTAAGAAGGACAGTTTTACCCTCTCTTCAGTGTCTATCAGGATGAAAGGCTAATCATTCTAAGTGAATCGCTTAGTTTGGCTTCACTAAAATGGAAATTACTACTACTAGCCTACTTCTAGTACAGCTATTACCCATGGGCGAGGCATAGTTCTGACAGCCTAAGCTAGAGAGCATCATTAGCTAAAGTAGAGTAAGATTGGGTGAGGTGGTTGTTAAGCGGTTTCTGAATGAGTCAGGCCTCTGGTGCTAAATTTATTAATGAGTCATTTTCCTTGCCTAGCAGATGCTGTGGCAGAAAGTGAAAGAAGAAGTCATTCAATATCTGTTTTTTAAAATACATTTTGACCCTTTCAGTCCACCCAAGTATATTTCAACATAGTTTAGTGTTTTAGACCCAATCCTTGACACCAAACGATTTCCTGGTTCCTCTCAGTTTGGAAAAAGCAAGTGAGGCCTTTCCCCCAGGAATGGGGTAAATTGTTTTCATCCCCTCCTAGGGGTTTCAAATGATAAATTCCTAGTGGCCAGCTCTGACATCCACTACCTGGCCCTATGCAGCACCTAGAATTCAAATCTGATTATTCCAGCCTTTTCTAAAAGCTTAATAACAATGATGATGGCAACTTACTGACCTCACGCTCACTCTATTGGCCTTCATCTCCAGTCTGTACCGGCCTCCCACTGCACATCTGTATCCTGGGTCTCTTTGTAGATTTCCCAACTAAGATGGGAAATTGGTTCTTTCATCTTTTCATTGCAATCTCCTCATCTAGTCTCTTCCACTCAATCATAAGAATGCAAAGTCCTCTTCTACCCTCACAGTAGCTCCAATTATTTATCATTCTTTCTACCACACCAGCACGTGGAAGCTCTTCTAACCCCTCCTGATGTTTCAGTCAGTTTGGGCTTCGTGATCGACTATCAGAACGTGGTCCCATCATTCTAAACTACTCTACACATTTGGTATTTTGCCATCTCCATCATGCCAACTCCAAACCCTGGTTTGCATGCACTACGTTCTTGGGACCTGCCTTTGACCATCTGAGACTGGAATAAAGACTCAAAATGTTATGGGATTTGTCTTCTGCAAATTTATACTGTAAACTTCAACTGATCTGCAACAGCAAGGCAATTCAACAGTTCTGTCAGAAGACCTAAAACATGTCTCCCAGTCAATATTTCCAAATACTCTACGTTCAGATCTCCAGCCACACCATCACTGATCTTTGCAAATTAATCTGCCTTCTTAATAAATGGAAAATATTTAATGCTATTCCAAATTCTTCTTCCTCTTCCTTCTTTCTGTCCACAGAAAGAGAAGTGTGTGTATGTGTGCCTGCAGACATACATCTCTAAACCTATCACCTATATCTGTCTAGCCAACTGTTCTCTACCTATCTAATCTATCTATCAGCGTCGTTTAACTAAAACTCGTCTCCACATCTGTCTTGGCTTGGGCCTCATCATTGGCTTGGAGATACACTGTCCAGAGCCTTCTTGAAGGAATGACTTGCTGCCCATTTGTGGGCAATGTGATCAGATGACAGTCTTCGGAGTCAGCCCCTCGGGGTCTGCCTCAGCTGCCGAGAGTTGCCCTGCCTGATCTCACATCCTTCTAGAAGTGGCCCATATCTATGACGGAGGAAAATAAGGTCTAGCTATGTCAGCCCACTGCAGGATGACCGATGAGCAATCCTAGCTCCTTGGCTGCTGGCCACATTACACTCTCTACTTAATCCTGCTCCTTTACCCTCCCTCCACGGGTGTTCATCCCTAATACACCCCCAAACTCTGTCTCGGTGACTCCTGGAGAGCCTAAGCTAGGAGTGGTCCCAGAAACAG